TGAAGGAAACTCTCGGCTAGACCTAGCAAGGGTGCATACACAAGCGCACACAGGAACATAGTCAAGTATGTTCACTCACTCTTGACACCACAGATACACATACAACTAAAAGATAAATAGACAGCAGTACAGCAGGGACTGGGAGAGAGAAGGCTTAGAGAACCATAGGTGAAGTAATCTCTGGCTGCTGCTGCAACTCCAGGCAGCTCTGCTATGTAGCAAATCTAAGCAAGAAACCCAGGTAAGTTAGTTAAAAAGTATGACTAATTGAATAAGTTGGAAGTGCTGCATATGTCTTTGTAAAGATTTAAAGGCCATTTTCTGAGGGCAGAAGGTAGGCTGGATTAACTTTCTTTATCCTTCACAAGCTTAGCACAGTGGTTTTGGGAGTAGTAGCTGCTAGATCAACAGTTACCAAATAAAGGGCAGATCAGAGCAAACCAGCTTGTGAAAGCTGAAAGATTTGGGGAAAAGATCTCAAAAATGGATAAGAATGACTAGAAACTGGTAATCCAAAGAATTTGCACATAGAAATTGGTAATCCAAAGAATTAGCACATAGTTATTTCACCCACCCCCACTGTTTTTTTGTTTTGTACTGGGGCTTGAATCTAGGGGCACTTAACCACTGAACCACCTCCTCAGCCCTTTTTTATATTTTATTTAGAGACGGGGTCTTGCTGAGTTGCTAAGTGCCATCCTAATCTGCTGAGGTTGGCTTTGAGCTCATGATCCTCCTGCCTCAGCTTCCAGAATTGCTGGGATTACAGGCGTGCACTACCGTGCCAGACTTCCACTGTTTCTTACTGCTTTTTTTTTCCCATTTAAAATAAATTTAGATATAAATCATATCATAAAATTCATAATTTTAAAGTATATAATTTAGTGAGTTTTAGTATATTCACAAGGTTGGGAAACCATCACCACTATCTAAGTGCCAATCATTTTCACCAGGCCCAGAAGGAAACTCAGTAGTGGTCAATGCACAACATTATACATTTGTTAAACCCACAGAATGTGCAGCACGGAATGAACCTGAATATACTGTGGATACACTACATGCATCCATATTTGTTCATCAGCTTTACCAAACATGCCACATACATGCAAATTGTGATAATAGGAAAACCATGTGTGGGGTGTGCAGGAGTGGGGGGAGGGACACTCCCTGTACTTTCTGCTCAATTTTTTTGTAAACCCAAACTGCTCTAAAAAAATTCTATTAATTAAAATAAATTAAAAACTCCACACCATTAGCAGTCAGTCCGCGTCCTCTCTTCCCCTAAGCTTGTGACAACCACTTATCTCCTTTCCCTTTCATACATAGGTGCTTTAAAGAGGCTTATATAAGTATTTGTTTTGGTAATTACAGTTAAGATAATGTTAAGAGTTCATACATTAAAATATCATGTTTTTATAACCCCCTTCTGCCCTTGCTCGAAACATCAGTGAAATATAGGCTTTACGAAAATTAAAATGGCATAGCTATTTGTAAAAATAGGAAAATAATCTTGGTGATCTAAAAGTATGACAAAAATACTTTCTTCAGTGGAAAACCTGAAGCTCCAAGTGTGAACTCCATAGAAAGCAGAGGCAGTTGGGAGTTTGAGAATCCCTGAAAAATCATTCCAGGAATGGATCAGAATGAGAATCAGGCTCAAAGCCTTGAGTTGGGACCTTTGGAGGGATCCCCCATGGAGCAACATGTATATGGTGTCTTGTCTTTAGTAGCTGAGAATTCAGAAAAAATTAGAAGAAATATCTGGTGGAGAGGCTCATTGACTATATCAACAACTTCTGCAACATCACCACAGGAGAGGAAATCTGATATTCTAACCAAAGATCTGGTCTGGGCATCTTGAGGGGGCCAGAAGATGTAACTGAATGAAAACTCACTAAAGTCCAATATAATGATGCACATTCAGGATTGCTATACTTCCTAGGAAATTGATTCTTTTATTGATATAGGATCTTCTTTATCACATTTGATATTATAGTCCAACTTTTGTCTTTTGACTAGAGTTTATCTTTTCTATCATTTTATTTTTAATGTTCACTTTCTGTATTTTAAGAATATCATTTTCAAGGTAACTCAGTTTTTTTTTTACAATTGGTGCATTATAATTGTATATAATGGTGGGATTTGTTGTCAGATAGTTGTACCTGCACACAATATAACAATATAATTTGGCCAATAGAAATTTTTTTTTACTGTATTTTAGTTCTTGCAACTTTTCTATAAGCTTAAATTATTTCAAAAACAATTAAAATTTAAGTCAATAAAAAGACCCAGTGTCATATTTTGTAATCCCAGCTACCCCTGAAAGTAAGGCAGGAGGATCAAGAGTTCAATGCCAGCCTCAACAACTTAGCAAGACCCTGTATCAAAATTAAAAATAAATAATTAATAAAGGGGTTGGGATATATCTCAATGGCATAGAACATGTGGGTTTAATTCCTAGTGCTTCAAAATCAACAATGAAAATTGAGTTGCTTGTATAATTAATACAGCCATGGAAGTTATAAATATTAGGAAATCCATATGAGGAGGCTAAAAAGAACAATCACATGATTATCTTTATACATAAAGGACATTATCACTTTTATATCAATTATACATATATTTCCAGTTTGTTACATGTCTTTATGCATTGTTTGCAGTGGTCTTGTTATGTAGACTTTTTAATGTAATTCAATCATTGGTCTTTTATCTTACTGTTTCAGGATTTTAAACCATAGTTAAGACAATTTTTCCTACTTAGAGGTACAGTTATCAATCAATCATTTAAAAATGTATTTGTTTTGGTTTAATTTTTAAATTATTTTTTTAGTTGTAGATGGACACAATATCTTTATTTATTTTTATGTGGTGCCGAGATTCGAACCCAGTGCCTCACACATGCAAGGCAAGTTATCTACCACTGAGCTGCAACCCCAGTCCCTGTTTTGATTTAATTTTTTCACCAAAATTTCTAATGCGTTTGGAAATTATCCTGGCATACAGTGGACTTGGGGTGGAGTTTTTCTGGTTTCTGTTGTGCAGAAGTGTCAGCCTCTCATGTGCCCTGGTATTATGCAGGGTCTTGATTCCACCTTGGTGTCTTGTACAGGCCCAAGACCATGTGTTTCAGCCCCTGTGGATGTTAGAACTCTGTCTCCTGGCTGAGAAGGTCTAGTGTGTTACCCCTCAGTTCCCATGCTTTCTGCTTGGCTTCGCCTCTTATCTTTGTTTCTGGAATCTGAGGATCCCTCTGTTTTCCTCCCTCCACTTAAGCTTAAATATGTATGTTTGGTTCAGCTTGGAATTTTCCTTTAGCTTGTCTACTACTTCATCCTGGGTCAGTTCATGGTGTTCAGGAAATTGGAGAGGACACATTCTAAGGGGCTTGGAAATAAAATGAGGCAGATGAACACTTACTCTAGAGGCACCACGAGTTTTTCTGGACCTCACAGCTGTTTTGAAGCATTTCAGAACTTCATAGGCTAGAGCAGATCTTCAAATGTCCAAGCAAGTCAATCACAACTTAAAGACTTCTGAGATAATACTGATTCATTGTGATCTATTGAGTATATTGCTCACAAGTGCTGTCAAAGGACAATGCATCTTTGACTCAGACATTTTTTACTTTCTCTAATACAGAGCAAACTCAGTGCCAGATATGTATTTCACATACTAATAGATTATACCAAGATTTTTAAAGAAATCTACTTTAGAACTATGGTCCATGAACTCTGTATATGGTTGTGAGATTCCCCATTTCACATCTGTCTTGGCTGGAGCACAAAGGGGTTTGGTGGCCCAGTGTGAGTTTGGGAGTCTGTGTAAGACTTATTTATCTGATTACTTGTATTCTGGAATCCTCATGAGAATCTTGAGTAATCATATATGATTTTTAAAGTCTTTGAATCAACAGCATATGATTAACCTTCTTTGGTGCATGGTTCTATGACCTATTTGGATTTGTGTAACCCTCATAATGATGACGCAGAACCATTCTATCAACCCCCAGACTCCCCCACACCATCCCTTTACCATCACACATCCCCACCATGACTCCCCCAAACTACTGATCTGTTCTCTGACACTACTTTGGAAATATCAAACAAAAGGAATCATTGCATATATAACCTTTTGAGAATGACTTTTTTGTGACATGACACTTTGGGAGGCATCCAAGTTGCTGGGTTTATCAAGGGTTTGTTCCTTTTTACTGCTGAGTAGTATCCATTGTAAAGATGTACCAGCATTATTTAACTACTAAAAGATATGTGGTTGTTTCCAGTTTTTAGTGATTATGAATAAAGTTCATATGAGAGAAATCATTTTATCCCAATAAATGGCCCTATGACTTTTCTCTACTTAATCCCAGTTCCTTTTGTCTGACAGTAACTTAGATTCCACTTCTACCAAAAAAAAAAAATTCTGCTCTTAACCCCAAGGATGATGATTAGGGTTCCTTCTTATATCAAGTATAATCTGTCTAGGAAAATAAGGAATAAGCAATGGTGATGTCCACTAAGATTGAAGGGTAGGCAAATGGCAATGATTCAATATAATTTTAGATATATTTCTTTCCAGAATGCAGAATAGATGCAGAATAGAATAAATAATAGAACTAGCCAGTGCAGTGGTATGGACTTATGTGCCTGCCACTTTCTCACACCCCACAAAAGGGAAACATTTTTGGAAAAATTTTCATGATAACACTAATATATCTTTAAAGCCAGATTTGGGCAATGTTCTTCTTGTACTTGTATAAAAATACATAGTGCAGTAGGGTTGTGGGTTGACTCTTGCTGATGGGTGTTAAGATGTGGTCTATGTTGTCTTCTAGCTGCAGTCATTGCTAACTGGGCCAGGAATGATATTTTCACTTTGAAATATGACTTACATAAAATCGATGTATTTTGTAAATATATACTTTGTATAGGCATATACTGTGTTATTATGCTTTTATGCTCAAAAGATAAAACTAAACTTCTGTGTTTGTTTCTTTCCAGTATTACTTTACTGTTCTTTTTGGCCATGAAGGTCAGAAGCCACTGGAGCTGCGCTGTGAGGAGGAGCAGGATGGTAAAGAGTGGATGGAGGCTATTCACCAAGCCAGGTGTGGACGTAACTTCTCCCATGTGTGATACCTGCTTGTCTGGGTCTTGCATTGGGTTATCACTGTTGGCACGAGTTTGGAAGAACTTGCCATTCCAGGATGGGGTTTCCTTTGGACCCTCTCCTTAGCCATGTGTGAGCTAATTATTTCAGTTTTCTGTGGCTATATTCCAGTTAAAGATTAAAGGTAATAGATAAAATATAAAAACAAATAGTAAATTCCTTTGTGCCCTTCACTAAGTGCTTCTCAATTAAGGAATTTATGAAATGTATGACTCACCTTTCATCAATCTGCCAGAGGCACATTATAATCATCCTCTCTTTTATAGACAAGGAAACAGGCCTGGCAGGTGAGTTTACTTGCCAGAGGTTGCACAGCTAATAAGTGACAGAACTGAGATATGAACCCAGCTGAGCCCACCTTTGTAAATCCTACCTCAGTTATTGAAAACAGGCAATAGCAACCTCTATCTAGGGAAATAGAAAACTGTAATTTTCTTCCTCTTAGGAAATACCAGAAAGGTGGAAAGACACCCACAAAATCTTAAATGGGAGTGAGGAATCTGAAAGAGGCAAGACAGATCCCTGTTTGTTTTCCCTTTCAATTTCCTGGTGCTGTTCATCTTTGCTTCAGATGGCTCCCATGCTGACTGCTTTTTGCCCTGGGTGCAGCTTTGCTGTTGTAACTAGCCAGGCACCCTACTTGACTGCCTTTGCTCTGGGTGTTCTCTGTCTGAGGGCTTTGCTCCAGATTCAGGACCAATGTGGAATGAATTCCTACAGAGAGAAGGCCAGGTCTTCAAAGATGGCAGATGCATCAGGCTGGCAAGGTAGAGCCTGGGGTCCTTTGCAGACACAGTCTTTGTGGTTAATTCTATTCTTTTACATTTCAGAGTTAAAATGCAACATAATTAAAAACATGTGTATTTGCCTATTTTTTTCCATTCCAGAAGAGCAGTTACCAGGGGTAGTATAAATGGCTTTTTTTTTTAATTGCCAAGCAAATATCTGGGTGAACCAAACTCAGACAATGTGAATGACTTTGAAGGTGGTTGGATTTCATAGAAGAGGTCCTTCTTTCTTTATCATTTTTTTGTCCATATATGTGGATGTGGTTGGTCACTACTGTTATTTGGCATACGATGAAAACTAGGGCATGTGAGATTTTTGTTAGGAGACAGACTTTAGAAGCCACTTGAGTAGTTTAGATGATAGAATGGTGACACTTCTCTCTTGATTTGAAGATTTGGTTAGTGATTGATCATTTTTCTTGATGACTTGAGTCTTTTGTCTGTTAGAATTGTTTTTCCTTTGACTTGAGGTCTGGGATTGGATTCTTTGATGACTCCTTTTAATCTGACTGCTTTCAAAGAATTCTTACATTTGACTTTTTACACTGAGATGTTTCTGGAATCAGGGACAATAATATAACTTGGATCTCTGAAATTCACCCTGACTTTTTTTATACTTAAACAAAGCCAGAAAGTTAACAAAGCTTATTCAGAGAAAAAAACATTGTTAGCCATTTTTGCTTGACATTGTGCTACTGAAACATAATTAATAGGGATTGGTAGCTACCCTTAGAGGAAAGCTTGATGGCCTTAATTTGGTACTGCTGTCTGTGTATGTGTGGGTGGGGGCAGGGTGCTGGGGATTAACCCAGGGGAGCTCTAACACTGAACCACATACCCAAACCATTTTATTTTAACTTTTAATTTTGAGATGGTGTCTTGCTAAGTTGCTCAGATTGGCTTCAAACTTGTGATTCTCTTGAGTAGCTGGGATTTCAGGTGTGCACCACTGTACCCAGTTGCTGCCTTTTTAATAGAAAACTTTAAAATCCTAATAGTTCCTGTCTTATTGATTCCCTTTTCTAAAGTCTGAGATTTTGATTGACTGATAACTATTTGAGCATGAGACTAGTTCTTTTCTGAGCTGCAGATCTTTCTGCAAATTCTATATAGGAAACAAAGACTGCTCAGAACTCCCTCTCTTGATCTCTTCTGTTTTCCTGGGATGGTTTTTCCATACTAGCCTGGGTGTGCTGTCTTTGTCTGCCATGAAAATCACATTGTTGCACTGGCTTTTGCATCTCTGAGCAGAATCTCCTTGTCACAGTTTGCTTTAAGATGATCTTTGGTTCATTTTCTGGGAATTCTAGTTGCATCTTTTATCCTTTAGATCTGGTCCAGAATTTCTTTTTTTTTTTTTTTGGAATTAATGCTCTTCATTTTGACCCTTTGACTTGGTCCAGATAGCCCCATCAGTAAGAAGATGGTCTTGGTATGGAAGAGGACCGAGTTTTCATCTTCCAGGGCTCTTCCTGTCCCGACCTAATCTTAAGTCCTAGAATATAGTAGTCTGGAAGAGGAAGAGGAAGGTATTCCAGAGATGTTGGGGTAACCTATAAGGATCTTTGGCTATGTCTGATATGGGAAGTATCAGACCAGGGTGGCATCTAAAACATCTCTTGGCCCTTAGCTTGGATGATGTCAACTACTGAGAGAAGAAATAATGGATGAGAGCAAGTTTGTCAAGCAAAGTGGTGAGCAGTGACCAGGAAGTGCTCTGCAGGGAATTATTAGAGTGTGATTGGTTACTGGGAAGGGACAGTGGGGAGCTGTGGGATACTGACATGATCTTTCTGCCCCATGACATGGAACATGTGGGAGAATGAGTGTACATTAGGCTATTTGAGAGGTAAGCTGTGTCTTGAGGACAGAGCTGGGTTTGGATCTTTACCCAAGGTGAGGTCTGGGGAGGGTTTGAGAATATTATGCCCAGTGTGGAGTACCATTAGGCTGCATAGCTGTACCCACTATGCAATGTGTGGCTTATGCTGTTGGCATTGGAAACTGTCTCACTATCTTTTGTTGACTTTCCAATTTCTTTAACTGAAACTCTGTTCCAACCTCACCTCAGTGTATATCTTGTGCAGGTGGGTCTCAGGATCTCCTCCAAGTGAGGCATTTTCAGGGAAAAAGGAGTTGGACATATGCTTTCATTCAGAAAAATTCATATCAGATTGAGTTGGAAAGGTTTGACCTAACCTTTCTTTTACCCTGTCAGTCCCTAACATGATGAGCAGAGAGACTTAATCCTTTAGTTAAATCTTTCATTTAAGCATTGTTATCTTGTTCAGTTAAAAAAACAAAAACAAACAAAAAACTCTAATGCAGCCTCTTGGGTCTCTCTTTTTGAAAAATATCTTTATTTATTTATTTTTACGTGGTGCTGAGGATCGAACTCAATACTTCACACATGCGAGGCAAGCGCTCAACCACTGAGCTACAACCGTAGCCCTCTTGGGTCTCTTTTTTATTTATATATTTTAGATTACGTGTGCCCAAGACAGCCTGTTGTCCATATTCTCTCCCCTTGCACCAAACACACACACACACACACGTACACACATGCACACGCACACACACACACACCATGTTAACTGCATGGAACACCAAATGCCTACTGCCTGCACCCTCATTCTTCTTCCTTGGTTAAAGCTTAATTTAGAGCAAAGTATATAGTATAAAATCTGTACCACCTAAAAGGCATTGTGTGTTTCTTATCCCTATAAGATCAGCCCTCTATAAAATGTGCATGGAGAAATCCCTAACAAATCAGAAAAGAGTGATTACATGGAATAGCTGAAAATATTTTATGTGTTACAGAAACATCACAGAACTAGACAATCAGGAATCGGCAGTGATGTTATAACCTAGAGCAATCCCAAAGCCATATTTTATATTCCTCTTATAACCTTAAAGCTGAAAACATGGATTTTGTCCATCTGCAATATTATATTTTTGGTAAGAACTTCTGTCTGGGATTTGCCACAATGAAAGAGAATTCATTCCCCCTTACAGTGTGTAAAGTGCTAGTGAACTGTGAAAGATTTCACTTGATTTGATGGTTACTTGTTTTCTGTAGGAAAAAGCTGAGCTTCAGTTTCCTTCTTTTCAGCCCTTTGTCAATACCTTCATCTGTCAATTGTCTTTCTGGCTCCTCACAGAGTCTTGCTTCACATGCTTGCCTTGCCCCTGAAGCACTGGGAGACACCACAGTCTACCTTTGTTTGTTCTTTTAACTGATGTTTATTTATTTCTTTATCCAATGCTAGCTCTGCCCTGCCTTCCCAGACACAGTGAGCCAATGCAGGGATGCCCTTCCTGAGCTCACCTCTGAGAACTTCTCATGCCACCTTTCCCCTTGTAGCTTGAGCTCCAGGTGAGCGACCCCACCCAGGAATCTCACTGTGCTGGGATGACCCCTCCAGTCTGACTTACACCAACTTGTCTCTCAGAATGCAGCTCTCAGTCATCCACATGTCTTCCCTGATGCTCTTCTTCTCTGCAGGAAGGACTGACCATTCTGTTCTTTGATCCCACTGTCACCTCTTATTTCTCTCAGTGCATGGATTTGCTCCTGTTTTTGTTTCTGTCAGCCTGAATTTCTTCAAAGCAAATTGCATATTACTTATCTCTTGTTCTCTTTTCCTGGCTCAGTGCCCAATTGCTTTTCAGAAACACACATGCCAGTTTAGTAACCTTCACTAGAATAAGAGAAAATCTGGAATATTTTTTTATAAAAATCTTTATTATATTGATGGATGGATAAAAATGATATCTTGGGGTAATAAGCATTTTCTTGGTTATTGACCACTTTTTGCAACTGTTAAATATTTGTCTGTATTTCCCATATGAATCGTCATCTCATGTCCTTTCCCCATTTTCTCTACTGGTGTTTTTCTACCTCCCCCCCCCCTTCTAAAAGAGCTCTCTGTGTGATGGATATACTTTGTTTTTATATTCATTGGATATTGCCTACACCATTTTTTGGTCTTGAAGTTTTATCTATGGAATTTATTTTGACAAAGACTCTTTGAATTATGATGCAATAAAAAATATATTGTTTTTGGGGAAAATTGCTCCGCTGCATTTTGTAAAGTTTATCTTTTAATTGAGTTGTATTTCACACACAGAAGTCATCATCTTTTAGTGT